GTTGAAATCTCCTAACAATGTTGTCCATTTTAGACATAGGCCTATTATATTTACAGCCCTTAATAACATTCATTTTCTGGGCTCAATATGTGTCTTGGCTGTTTTCGTTGTGAAAACAAATGGACCGTAGACACACGGATTGACCGTCCTCATCTGCGCTCTTATTTTGTAAGGTAACTTCCGGTAGCAGAATATGAAAAAACTGTAGTTTTTTTGTTTCTGTTTTCTATTGATTTTATTTTTTGTTTTGAGAAGTAGAAAATGAAAATCATCCCGTTTTTTAAAGGACACCTATCATGCTATATTTGAACAATATATTGTAGGGCCATACCTATATAAAGTATATAAATATAGTTTTTTTTTCAAAATACCAAACAGATCCTGCATTTTAGCCATGCCTCATTTCGCTCCATTTGCTCTTTCCAGCACTGTTTTTGCAGGGGGCTGATTCTGTGAGCTGCAGCTGACCACGCCCCCCTGCAGGAGAGGGGAGCGTGCTCTGAACAGCTGCTGGGCTGTCAGAAGAGGGGGAAGATCTCCGTCCTCCGTGTTTTATTATATTATTATATAGAGTCGTTATTCATTTGTTTTAAAGCTCAATAAATAACAAAGAAGACCTTTGACCGGCACTTTTCTAATTTTGTCCGGAAGATTTCAACTTTAACGGACATCTTGACCGGCGAAAAAAAACCTAACTGAAACTCTGCCGCACGGTCCCCTCGTTCCTTGGAAGAGGCGGAGAGGTGGGTGTTTGTCATCTGCTGGTGGACTAACCGGAGAGAATTACAGTGCTTGCCTCGACGGGGAGGGATTGCATTGAATTAAAGCAGCAGGAGCAAACGCTTGCCTCGGGGAGGGAGAAAAAGAGCCACAGCGGAGAATAAACAGAATGGTAACCATGGCAACCATGCGCGGGAAGTCTTCTTCGCTGCTTTTGTGGCAGACTACAGCGCCACTTACAGGCCTGGCATATGTACTACAGCGTCTCCAGCGCTTTCGAGCGGCAATGGCCGGCCGTGGCCCAACCCCACATTCCCCTGATAGGTTGGCCCTTGGAGAGTTGGCCCAATAGCCGTAGCGCCACCGTGTTCAAATCTGGATCAGCTTTTATCAGATCCGTTGCAGCCCCGTTTTTAGAGATTTGGGTATGGAGGAAAATAGAGAGGGTTGTGTTTTCTGACACTTGGTGAGTTCCCTGGAACACCGGGGACACATATTCATGTATAAAAGACGTACAAAAGTGCATTTTGCATGATAGGTCCCATTTAAGTTAAGTAAATCCCTTTTTGACCATGATAAAGAAAAACGCCTTGTATTTCAATTTTGGTTTTTCAATTTTAAAACGAAAATCAAATATCCAGTCGTTTTTTGTTTTTGAATATCCATTTGTGAAAAGAAAATCCAATGACCAAAACATACACTGACCCCCTACTATGGGCTGTTCGTCCCTTGTCCTGTCCACTTTATTACACAGTAAATGTTTTGTTTCCTACTTTTCTGATCTGCTCCGGCCTGCCCTGGTTAACTTAGCATTATGCTGTTAATACAACTCAAAATGTTCAACTCAAGAGCCCTCTGGCATTTCAGTGGACAGAATCCCTGGATGTTATTAATCTGGTGTAGTTGATCAGCAGTTTGCAGTGGCTGGCTGATAGTTTAACTACCGGTACATCCATATTTGTGTAGTGATTTAAATAGTTTAATTAACTGTTTAGCCTTTTCTGTGTAGCTGACTGTAATATTTTTGTCCATAAAAGCTAAGAGCTAAGCTGATATGAAAAAGTGTTAAAGGGCCCATGTCATGGCCATTTCCACTGATCATAATTACATTGTTGAGGTATACTAAAATAGATTTATACTGTGCAATTTTCCAAACTCACATTGGTTTCGCATACAGCATCTCTGTCAAGCATGTGTATTCAGCAGTATTCACTTTCTCCACTAAACGACTCGTTGGAGCTCTTGCCCCCCCCTCCCTGTGAGCCTAGTGTGCTCCGATTGGTCAGCTCGGCCACTCGTTCTGATTAGTCAACCACCAGAGAGGCTGCGCCCATGTCAGTGCTTTTCCCGGCTGCTCTCAGCGTAACATCAGTCTTATCATGGCGTCGGTACAGCGGTATATTTTATATACATATATATTTTTAACTGTTGTTATAGAAGAGTGTGACGGCCCCAGGGCCTTTGTCTTACGATGGGGTGGAGCTGAAGAGGCTAATCAGCACGATCACGGACACCTCCGGACACAGTCTCTCTCCAAAGCGGCTGCAGGAAGACTAACTCTGCGATCCTCTCAACCATTTCTTCTCTGCATTTACCACAATAAATGTGCCGTGGTTTTGTAAACTCGTGTATGTCTCCTTGTCTTTCCGTTGTGGCCTACGAGCTACTCTCATAACAAAGAGTAAGTTATTTTTACCCGTTATAAACTACTACTGTTTGATGAGAAATCAAATCATGGTTTGCTATATATGAATTCAGGGAAGAAAGGATAGGCCTACTAAGTATTTCCATTAAACTTTATTTTTAGAAATGTACAAAATGTCATCCATTCCTCCTCCTCGCATCTTGCCTGCGCACAGTCGGTGCGGTGCCTTTTAGCACCCTCAGTAGTAGTAGAATCCCTTCCCCGTCATGGATTGTCCGCCAGGATCTGGCTGGACGAAATCAAATGCAAATCACAAAATATTAGAGAAACTTAGTTGTTTTAGACTCGTTAGTAGTAGTTGTGTAATGAACAGCTTGCCTGCTAATATGCTAACCTAGCTTTGTTTACCTTGGTAGCTAACACGATATGAACGTTAGCTTGGAGGAAAGGCAACTATAATGCAGTGTAATAAAACTACTATGAACAAAAGCTAGTGGTTCATATTAGGCTAGCAATAACGTGTTTATAATTGCAATCGTATACGGGTATTCTGCTACGTTCGGTCATACAATGTAACTTGCATGAATACATTGTTTTGCGCTAGCATACAGCTAGCCTCGTTAGCTACATGCAGTATATGTACGGTCACAATGTACGGTAAATCACAGTACAGTATACTGTATGAGTATTCCGTGTGTGTGACTGCAGACATTCTCCTGCCATGACAAACATGTAAGGCCATCTGCTGACATTGTAGTTGATATATTTAAACGCTAGCAACGTAGCATCACAAAAATGTTTTTCTGACCAAAACTAGCTCTACCTCCGTGTGTTAGATCGCTACGCCAGCTATAATGTAATTACGTTTCGCGACTGACCGGCAAATCACCCGGAGTATACTGTCAATAGGTATTTTGTGTGTGAATGCAGACATTCTCCTGCTATGAGATACATGTATGCAAGGCCATCTGCTGATATTAGAGTTGATATATGGAAACTCTAGCAACTTAGTTAGCACAGTTAGCACTGTGTCAATGGCTTAGCAGTCCAACACAGTTTACACATTTAAACAGTCTTGTTTGATAAATACACAAATAACAATGCAAACTTACAGGTTGTATACCCAGATCTTCCCCTGCTCCAAACGGTCCAAACAAGCTGTGCATATCCGGCCTCAAACTGGGCAATGTTTTGGAAGCTTTCGTCTGTGAAATGCCGGTTCTTCGAACCTCTGGAGGAGGAACACGCCGCTGCTGGTGTGGCCATAGCTCTTCGGGATTGGTCCATTTCGTTCCGGGTACCGCATGACATCAGGCGGTACCCGGAACTAAATGGAAGACTCAAATGGGCAGTGACGTATCTCCAACGAGGCGTTTTGGGGAGGTATTTTCTGTGTTAGAGTTTTACTCGCTACAGGGTGTACTTTGAGGGTTTTGACTCTGCACACCGTTTACATGCATAAAAACCTTCATAACACACAAGGGGACGGGTAATAACCGGAAAAGCATGACATGGGAGCTTTAAACATTGCAGAGCAGAGAGAATGACTAGTGCATTAGGACCTCCTGTATACACAGAAACTACAATTAATAGAAGACTACCCACAAAAGTGATCGGCTCAGGCCAGAATATATTTAAAAAAAGCAGCTGGCACAACCACAACGTACGCCAGGCCTTAAGGCCCTGACACACCAGGCAGTCACCAGAGAACTCGCCGACACCCTACACCAACAGTTCCATCAAGGAGTTCTCCTGCGTCTTGGCCGTGTGTCGCACTGGAAATCACCGCAAAGACTTCAGCCGAGCACGTACGAACTGCGCATGCGTGAGTGGCAATAACTCTCCTTACCAGCAGGCGGCGGTAGTGTGTATTCGTCATTCAAAATAGGCAACAACCGGAAGACAGAGAAGAAGAACAGACTGATATAAACAAACAAATAGCGTGTGCGTTCCATTTTCACTCTCGTCCATCGAAAACATGTTTTAGAATATAAAAATACATGAATGATGAAATGAGCACATAAAGTGCAGACATACTATAAAATCACAGTTAATAGACCTGCATCTGATGATCGCAGTGTTCTGGCGGGTGTGTAGTTTATTGAGTCAGCAATGTAGTAATGGCCACTTCTTGCTAAATTTACGATGAGATGAAAAACCGGACTTGACCAAACAAATCACGGAGCTCTCAGCAGAGGACAGCCGGGGACGCTCCCGCCGATATCAGAGATGTCCCTGCTATGTGTGGGAGGTAAGAGAGGACATTTAAGGGCTATGTTTGATGTCTTTAAGTATCACCTGCTGGTGTTTAGCTGCTGTCCTGTGCCTTAAATCGTTTGTTTACGTCCCTCACTTCCGTTTCGCTTCTCATTTGCTAGCTGAACAGCTGCTCAGAGTGGTTTCTTGGCCCGATAGCTTGTGTCCGACACCCGGCCGATTCAACATGTTGAATCGGCCGGGTGTCGACCGTGAAAGGCCAAATAAGGCGTGTCACGGCCGAGGGTTCGGGACACACCAAATTGACTTTGGGCGACAAGGAACCCGTTTTCGCCAGACAACGCAAGACGGCCGATATCGGCCTGGTGTGTAGGGGCCTTTACACTTGACAAACTGTCAGAGAAGATGATGATCTCACCTCCTCCTCCTCTGGCACTCTTGATTCCCGGAGCGCAGTTGGGAAAACGCGCGGGGTGAATCTGACTTGAATGTTTGCAGAGCGCCTCGGAGCGGGCGGGAGCGCTGGGGTTTTCTGGCTCTTTGCTTCACTGTTGCCTCTTTCATCTAAATGCAGAAATATAATATGATCATTAACATACCAAAATCTCACCAGGTAGTATAGAAGCACATTTGATCACACAGTAAATGACGTACCCAGTTTGACCTTTGCTCCATCTGAGCATCCTTTCTCCTGCTTCTCTGTCGGGGCTTTCAGTTTGTTCTGACGGACTCTCTGGTCTTGGAGTTTTAGTTTGGCTTCTCCCACTGCTGTTTCTCTCTGTCTCAGCTGCCATGCTGCCAGCTCTGCTGTGGTCTTCTCTCGCTCATCCTCCTTCCTTTTCAGAATGATGTCTCTTTCCTCCTTTTCAAGCTGAGGTCAAGTAAAACTAATTATAACAAAATATTTCTTGATTCCAGAGCAGAATTCTAATGGTATTTTGGTACACTGGGTGATGGGGTCATGAGTAGATTGTGATGTCATTGAGAGTGTTACCTTCATCATTGTCTCCAGTGCGTACTTTTTCTCTGCTTGCTGTTTCTCAGCCTTTGATCTGGACTCCGAACACAGCCTCTCCTGGTATTTCAACAGAGCCCTTTCTCTGACCTCCTTCTTCTTTTCTTTATCATCTGAAACACATTGATTTATTATGGTAGATGAATTATAATGAAATGTACAGTATTGGATATTTTTAGTTAAATCAAGCAGATATTCAAAATGGCAATGTTGTAGAAGCAGTAGACTCAGAGTTTACTGATCTCTATCTTTTTATTTCTTAGCCTTTTCCGGCCAAGGTCATGAATAATTTGAACATTGAAATTAGGGTTAGATTTGGCATGCTGACTAGTTCCTAGGTTTCACTATAATAATGTGGCAGAACATAGAGAGCGCAAGTCAAATTACATTAATGGAGAGAAATGAGTGACAGCTGGTCCAGAATGGTTCTGATGTGCAGTAAATATAGACGTCTGTCAGATTGACATTGTTTAATATTAAGAAGAACACTGTGCAGCCTAGCTGGGTGATGTGTTGAGTACCCTTGTAAATACTTGTATTCTCATCTCATCTTGTCGCTGGGCTTGCCAGTAGGAAGTTGATGAACAATACAGTGTGATAACAGAATGCTATCCCTCAGATTAACACTGGCTTAGTTGGAAACAGTAAATGGACAGCATTTATATTGCACTGCTCCAGGCTTCCAGACTTTTACAAGCCAGCATTCACACACATTCACACAGAGGCTACCTCACAGGGTGCTCAGGGAAACTAACATTCACACACTGCTGAAACACTTTGGGGTTCAGTGCACAAGGAGATTTCAGACATTTTGATTGTCTGGGGAAACCGATTATTGCCCGTTTTCTCACAGCCTTGTTCATCAGAGCAACTCTGAGTTGGAAGACTTTTTAAGTTGTCTTATTGTTAGACAACGTGCCTCGGCCTGTGGCCTTCAATAAACTCTCAATAATTTTGTTTGCCATAAATGCAGTTGCTAATTTCTCTTTTTTCTAATGTGTGCCTTATTTAATCTTTTTATGGTGTATATTTTTGTTATTAAATTGACGTTTGTCATATTGGAAGTATTTTAAATTGTCTATGTCTTTTATACTTTTTAGTCTGAGTTGAACTGGTTTCAGGCACTTCAGACAAATTACAAGACTATGATTTTCTCATACATTTCATCAAAGCAATATTTCAATGGGTTTTATGTATGTAAAAGGATTAAAAAAAAAAGTTTACTCCTACATGTAGTTATCACCAGATGCTCCCAGAATGCATTGGAACATTTTGGCAGAGTGATGACTGCGACTCCATTTCCAACCTTTGCTGTGCTTCTGTCCTCGTCCACAGGTTCAGACAGAAAGGCTTCGAACAGATAGGGGGGGTAATGCACCTGAGCAGAAAACCACGCGCAAAACATATTGTTTGCTAAAATGTGAGAAACAGAGAAACAAACAAAAAGCACATGCACTTACATTTGTTTAATCAAATATAAATCATTGCACATTAGGCATAAGGAAATACAGCTTTGGGATCCGTCAGTTGAAATTGTAATGTTAATGAAACTTTTGTGTACACAGTTGAGTACATTTTACTCAAATTGAAGAAGATTTCACAAATTAAGTGTTTATATTTTACTCTGCTTTATGGTCATTAGAAACAACTCTACTGCCATTTTACAGAATTGTAAAATATTGTTTATAGATATTTAAAAAAATAAAATGAATCATGGTGATCTTTAATCTAAACAAGGTCAATAAAACCAAACATCAGTACTTGACAAAGCACAATTTATTCTTATAAATGAGCAAAACATTAAAACAATTTGAATCCCATTGACATGGAGACTATTAACAACTAGACCGACACATGTGTCCTTTTATGTTGTTGCTGGTAAACTAACAAACGCGTAGTGTGTGACTCATAGACTGTAAAGTACTGTGACTAACCCACTGTGAATGAAACACAGCCCTATGTTACCTTCAGGTACTCTTCTGTAGACAGGAAGTCCACTCTCTCCGCGCGCGCTCCCTTTAAAGGCACGCTGATGAACACCGTGCTGTCCGTCTGAGTCCACGAGTAGTCTGACACTATCAGCGGCATCTCCGCACAGTACCCGCTCTTTGAAAGCGCAAAAAGTCGATGTATTCAGCTAAAAAAACGGACTTCTTCGACAAAAAGCGCGGAGTCATGAAAGGAGAGATCAACTTCCGCTAAGCGTCCCGTTGCTATGGCGACCAGAGACCGTATGCTCCCTTCATGTTGTCGGAAGAAAATCGAAATTGAGAGTTGTAATCAATCCCGATTCTGTAAATTACGTTTTGATTGCCAAAACGCCTAAATTACAGTTTTTTCAATTGCTAAAACACGTTTTCTTTTAAAACAGGGCTCAAACTTTACTTTAAAATAAATGTATATTGTTTTAACGCAGCACCTCAACAAATATATTATGTGCATCAACACATGGTCCTCTGCAAAAAAACTGTAACCCCTAGATTCCACCGGGTCCGTCTGCACCGCGGTTTTGGTCCGGCCTCCTCCGGCGTCATCCCTACCAGGCGCGTTTCAGAAGCGGAGCGTCTTGCCTGCCGGCTCGCAGTTTTTGTTGATTTGGGCATATTTCCTGGACAGGCTACTTTGTACAGACAAAGTTAATAATAACTGTAATATTCCAGTTATAAACGACATGAATCAAAGATGTGTTGCTGTATTTTAGTGGTAAAAAAATGCATTCATCATCATAATTATTCTATATATATAATTTACACAGTGCCTGTAAACCGGAGGAGAACGCTGGCATTTCTCCTCCTACTTGAAAGACTACGGAGGGATAGGGTCTGCAAAATTAGTTTGTGTGTGTGTGTGTATATATATATATATATATATATATATATATATATATATATATATATATATATATATATATATATATACATGGGCGTAGGAAGCATCCTGAATGTGGGGGGGACATTTTTAACGGGGGGTGTGGGGGCGGAAAAATATATAGATTTCCTGTATTCTGGTGCATTTTCACCAAGCGGCAAACTCTGGGGAAGAGCCGGGACGCCAATACGGAAGTGCCACAAACTACAGTTCATATATTGGCCGATAGGCGCTGACTGCAGAAATAAGCAATTTCCATAGACCCCCATGTTAAAATGCCCAATTGTACAGCCTAAAAAAACATGTTTCTACCCATGGATCCAATAAATATTATTATGGATATAGTTAGATTCCACCTTCATGATTATGGATCTGTGAGTGAATTGTTTTCTAACATGACCCTTTTATTTATATTAGGTCTTAAAGTTTTTGCATAAATTAGGGCGTGGTCACATTGAGTGACAGCTCTGTCAAGTGACTGCTGCTGTTAGCTTCTTGTCTCTCTGCTAGCTGCTCCGTCTCCGTGAAGCTACAGGGACTCTGCCTGCTCAGTTCATCCAGGGAACACAACTTGACCCCGGCCGTGTTTGTTTGTTCTTCATGCTTATGTATCGGACTATTGTGACTCGCTCTGCGGTTAAAACAGACGGTGCATGAATGCCGTTTTGCGGTAAGTGAAATTTGAGTACTTTATTTATGTGTTTATGATTTTAATCAGCTACGTAATGAATGTTAAGGCTTGGGTTAGCGTGTAAGTGAGTGGTAGCTACATCGGTGCTAACGATGCTAATCGTATCCTCCAAGTTAACTTAAAACCATAGACTGTATATATAAAGGTTAAAATGAAAGAGACAAGTGTTAAGCGTTAAGTGAGATAGTACTGTAGAACAAAAGGCTTCTGTTTGAGGTTGATAAAATAAGGTCATCCTTGTAACTTAGAGAGATATTTTATTATGTAGGTAGGAACTGTATGCATCGCTAAGGTTAATTTAAATTGGCTATGCTCAAGTATGTAGACAAGCTAACGTCGAAGTAGTGTATGTGAAATCAACCTCACAATAAGATGTGTGTATATTACAATTATTAATGTCATATTTCAAGATGATTACTTAGATATTACAATATGGTTGGTTGAGCTGGAGTTCATTATTGAGCTTACACGTTAACGTCACAGTCATCTGAAGAACGAACCCAAACCTTGTTGTTTTTGTTAATTGCATTACCAAATTGGTATCAAATAAACAGTAAGCATTGGTAACACAACTTCCAAAGTTACAGTAAAATAAAAAGGACCCTGACTCGGACAATACACAATCCAACATGTTCAACAGAAGAGAATAAGTTATATTGTTTGTACACATGGTTCTTTACATAATATCTGTTTGTTTAAAGTTTCCAGGTGATGCAGACAGGCTGGACCAGAGAGTGAGAGACAGAACTGGACTCCTCACAGCAGTGAACTTCAGCACAGGTACAAATACTCTTTTTTCATACTGTACAAAGAATCAAGAAAGATATTGGTTTAAATAAATGAAGTATTGACTTTAATACACTGATATACATTCCATTAAACAATGCTAAATACTAGATCACCTACACATCAGTGAAGTTGAGGGTTTTTTCCATGCAAAGGGTTACATGTTAACAAGCAATATTACTTTGTCAGCTTTCTAATTTAAGGTATTGAAGGCAAAGCTATTAGTGAGAACTGCTACTATTTATCTCTCAATATTGTCTGTAAAAAACGTGGTAAAAGTTATGATTTCAGTGAGAGAACAGAGCAAGCTTCTACAGTTGCACTAAGTTTTGATAACAGTTAAATATTATTTTGATAATAAAATATATTTCAATGTTGATGAATGTCATACTGTTCATTCATAATCTGATTGTCTTTGTAGCTCACTGTTGAAATAAAATAAAACATTACAATTACAAAATAATTATATCTACAGCCCCTAAACACAAGCACACCTCTTTCATAAATAACACACTTGTTCTGCAATAATATGTTTTATGTTTCCTGTAATTTTTGTTAGGAAAGGACATGCCTGAAAGACACGACTCAACATTTTCTCCTTCTCTGAGGGTCAAGAAGCACATCCAAGAGGAAAATTAAAAGCTGATGTTATGAGATTTTAAGACCAGTACAGGACATTCACTAAGAAACTACTTTTATTGTGAAAACACAGTCAGCTGATCGAATGCACCTATTTCCACATCTACACTCCATCAGCTGATTAATTCTATTTGCCTCACTTTATGAGCTTCACAACCTGTACCTTGTACCGCAGAGTTTGCAACGTCACAAATAAATGGGGCCAATCTTCAGTCAGATGTGAATGTGTAATCTAACATTTTCAGTAAGAATAATGGACAAAAGGAGTGCAAATACAAATTCAATTTATTGAAATGTGAACCAAAAGTTAATCAAACATGTTTTAAATAAAAAAGCACATATGGACAGAAGGTGTAAACCTATTAAATGTATAAGTAACCACATTTAGTCAAATAAAGTGACAGACAAGGCCTGTGCAGTTGGTATCAGCTATGCCCAGCATGGGCTCCTCCATCAGGCCTGGTCCTCCTCACAGAGGAAAGACCCTCAGTCCTCTCCAAACCAACAGACTGGACGTCCATCACACGGAGGTTTCTCCCTGAAGTCTCTGCAGCTCTCTGGACACCACGCTGTCTCAATCCGTCCACACTGAATATGAGTGGGGGAAAATGAAAATAATAAATGCTTTAGACAATAAGAAATATAAAGTTGACTGTTGAGTTGCTCAGTTTTTTTTAGATTGTCAATACTATTACTGTATAACTAATATCTCAGGTTAAGAGGCACCTTCAAATAAAGATTGGTCTTTAAATACATTTTGTCTTTTGAATTGTTTGTCTAAAGTCAAGGATCTAGAACTGGTACTTATAGTTTTAATGATACAGTCTGGTTATAATGCTGTTTGGAGGAGGCCTCACAGGTAAGAGCACTAACTAGCTACCATCACATGTACTGTAACTTAGCTTGACTTAAATGTATTAAACGTATAATTAAGTGATAGCAAAATATAAATAACTAATGTCATGCAAACACAGGGTTGCCAACTTTGGGTACCTGGCTGGAGTGAGATTTTGATATCATGGGTTTAATTCGGTTTAATTACACATATGCGCACGAAATGACTGCTATCGTGTCAGCAGCGGGACCTTAGCATATATATAGGATATATATACAATATATACAAATACACAATAATGGACACAGACTATAAAGGGCACACAGTTTCATTCACTAATGAAAGTCAAACATGTTTGTTTCCACTGTTTTATTGTGTGCCTGTCGCGATAAGCAATTAATTGACTTATCGTACGATAAATAAAAATGAACTCGATAATTTTTATGACCTCGATAAATTGCCATTTACATGAGGATGTGACTAGCAGTTTGAAAGGATGTACTTGAATTATTATTATATATTATCATTATGTCAGTGGTCTAAAATGGTCATACAACGGTGCCGACAATATTATCGTTTATCGCAATAATTTCTGGGAAAATGTATCCAACAAAATTAATTATCGTGAGAGGCCTATACATGAAACACACACACACAAACAAATCTACAGACTTACTCCAAACTGCCAAATATATTAATTAACACACTCTCACTCTCATATACTCTTTGACTCTATTTTGGCCTAGTAGAACAATAAGCAGCAGACTTTTACTTTGTTATAATTTCTACTGGATCTTAGATCTGCGCATGCGCAATACGGGTCGGCAGTTGCGGCTCCAGAATATTTTTGTTGGGTAATCTATGGTAGGGCTAACCCATACAGTGGTGGGGCTCAAATCAGTATTTGCAATGTAATTACATACACGCTCCCCCCGACAGTGAAACGCCACGCGTGAGGTTTAGATTATTTCCCTGTCTCAATCCCAATTGAACTGTATAAAATAAAAAGGCACATTTGTCTTGTAGTAAATAAAAAGGGCGACCTGGAGCCAATCCTGCAATTTCCCCACAGGTGAAAGAGTTGACATGCTGAAGACCCAACCCCTGCAGGGGGGTCTGGGGGGATTCTCCCCCAGGAGATTTTTTTAAATACTAACATAAAATACACATTCTGATACTCTCTTGAGAAGAAAAATAAATAAATCTATTACTACACATTTAAAAAAATAAATGCCATTTTTGTTTTGTGTTAGTTTGTTCTGAAAGCTGAACCTGCTGCTCCTCACAGAAAGAAGAGGCTGTGTGAATTACTTTACATTGTGGATAAGGGTGGATAGCCCCCATTGTTCTGTGTGTCAAAATGAAAGACAGCCCACAC